TGTGTGTGTGTGTGTGTGTGTGTGTGTGTGTGTGTGTGTGTGTGTGTGTGTGTGTGCGTGCGCACGTGCACGTGTGCAGATGTACTGAATGCAGCAGTATCGTGAGAAGCCAGATTCATTAAGTTGTGCGTTTGAGTGCTCTCTCTGCCTCTCCACCATCTCTCTCAGTTCCTGTTTTCTGCCCCCATCCATCCCTCTCTCTTTTCCTCTCTGTTGGGAATCCAGTTTGTATAAACTAATTAAATTGTCTCAGTAAGACAAGTTGATCAGACTCTTTGATCAGCCTCATGCTGGCTTGTCTGTTTGGTGGCTCAAATGCCAGCATGCTGTGAGAGACCAGAGAAGGTCCAGCTTGTTAATATACTGCTGTAGTCATTGAATTCAGAGCGCTCCTGCAAATGGAGGAAAGACAGGAAAGGTTCTCCATGGTGGTGTTCAAACACAAAACAAAGGAGAGTGAAAGGGGGGGCATAAGAATGCATCGAATGAATTAAACCCCCTTACATGTGTGAGAAGATGATGGTTGTCTAAGGGGCTCTGCTAAAGCCTTCTTAAATCAATTCTAAAAGACATCTATGTGAAGTTATTATATAGTAGAGCAGAGTTTCATATGGGTGCAATTTGTACACTGAAAGTTAGTCAGTAAACAGGAAGAGCATACATAGATGTTTCTAAGAAAAAAAGCAAGCACACAAATTACATTTTTGGATTGGATGAGACATATCCCATACTGCAGTGATTATTGAATCCTGCTCCTGGAATAAGCCACTGACCGCACTCTGCCCCTTCAATTCGTCATATTTATGTACTGATTCACTTCAGTTTATTATTTTAAACCGTATGTATCCTCTGGCAGGCAGAGCTTTCCATTGTTTCATTCAGCCTATCCCTGACTGTGATAGTAGCATACAATGTTACTGTCACAGTCAGGAAGAGGAGAGGCTGTTCCACTTTTATTCTTCACAACTGTACTGTATATGAATTGTGGAGCAGCTTTGGAATATTTGACAGAAAATTGCATGAGGCGAACAATATGAATCGACTGCAGGTAGCTTTTGGCATTAGCTCCAGATCCAGTTTACAAGCATATCTGGGTATCTGCTATAATGACACATTAACAGTGAAAGTTATACAGTAGATCCCCTCCAGACATGTTCTGCTTTGAATAATGTTATGTATTGTATGTTGTTATGATATGAATTTTTATTACTAAACTTATAATTCCATTTACTCTTTCTCTCTGATTGAAAACAGTTTTTGCCTTAAAATATCAGATTAATAACAGAATAATTGAAAGTAATATGTTTTTATCTCACATTAGATGTTATACATTGTACAACCCGAATCCAAAATATACAAAAAGATTTAAAATAAAATTGATTATAATAGCTGCCTTCCAGATTGTAACCTGTTGTAAGGACACCTGCCGACCTGCATTGCCACTAAATGCCACAGTGTAATTACTTTGTACAATGCCAGACAATCACCGTAATGAAAGCTAGTAAGAATGAGCCATATTGAGCAATTACTTTTTTTCAGTGTCATCATAATGCGCTGAAATAAGGAATTTGTCTTGCTATTGTTCGGTGAGCAGGCAAAACATAATGTGCATCATTTATTCCACGCAATCAGTTGGTTTGGAGGCTTAGACGCATGCAGAAAGCCAGCACAATGAAAGCTCTCTCAGCCCCATCATAACTTTGTCACATATTCTGTGCACTGACAATGCATGTCATGTTGCATTATTTGCCTTGGATGAGTGTGGGCGGAAAAGGCAAACAAGATTAGTTGATGCATGCACTTGTTTTTCTACGAGTGAATCAAGGCCTTTAGAAATGGTTTAGTGAGTCAGTGCCAGTAGCACACCCATCAAACTCATCCTTTTGACAGCAGTGCATATCTGTAACACTGGTGAAGTAATTCTCTACAGGCACGCTAAGGTTGCTTCGAGGTGGTCCTTCGACGAGCAACTGCTGCTGCTTGAAATGTGGTGGATTTTTTTCCACCAGTATTTTGTGGAAAATGTGTCTTGATTTCATTCCTCGTGTGTACTGTACACCAAATATGAGGCACACTGTGGTTTCTGTGGGCTGTGGGATAAATCCTGGACTGAGGCAGGGTTTAGTGGAGTCAAGCGTGAGTGCAGTTATATAAACCACACCTAAAAATGTCTTCACTCTAAGGTGAAGTAGAGAAAGATGCCCCAGTATGCGTGAGGTGAATGTGAGTGTCTTTTACGCAGGTAAAAGTATCAATACCTTAAAGTAAAACTAGGGGGAATTCAGACTGGAAACAGCCTAACATTACAGTGTAGGGGAGGAGTGTTGTTTCAGGTACCAGTGATACAATGAAATACACTGCATAATGGGTAATATTATTAGATTTTGCAACCTTGGAAAATGATCACAGTGGTCACTATATTTTCTTTCATCACAATGGTCACGATGTAAACTGTAGAACCACTACAAAGCAGTGTCTTGCTGGATAATGTCATGTTGCATTCCATCGACAGTTGATGGACTGGTCCCATTCAAATGAATGATGTGGCTGCATTTCTTTTCATCAGGGCTCAAGTCAGTCTGAACACAGCCTTACTACACTGCAAATAAATGTCCTGCATTCAAAGAACAGAAGTATTTGCAGCAAAATATACTTAAAAGACCGATGTGTAGGATTTAGTGGAATCTTTGCAGATTGCAGCCGTTTGATTACAGTTGCCTCAACCTCCCTTCCAAGTGTGTAGTAGAAACTATGGTTGCAAAAGGCCTAGAGCCAGTGTTTGGTTTGTCCATTCTAGGGTACTGTAGAAGCATGGCGGTTCAACAAGGCGACTTGCTCCCTGTAGATAAAAATGGCTCATTCTAAGGTAACAAAAACCCAACAATTGTTATTAGTTATTATGAGTGTCTATTATACACTAATAAAAACACACCTATAAATACATGTCTGCCTATAGATCCTCCTAAATGTTACACACTGGACCTTTAAAAGTATACAGAGTAAAAGAACTCAACTGGCATCAGTGTGATTGTAATAATAATAAGATTATGTTATTATTATGAATGCATTACTGTGTATTTGACTTTACATACTAGAGGATAGTTTGATCTTTAACATCGTATTTTACAGTTCATTATATGTTTCGATTAATAACCTTGATTTTCAAAGTAACTGTTAACTCTAGCTGTAAAATAAATGTAGTTGCCCCTGGAGAGTGTCCATGATCCATCTGAACCTTAATTTAACCTAAACTTGTGATAACACAGAAATGAGGGAAATAATCCCTGTCATTTAGTGGAAAATTGGCAACTTTTCAAGTAGCACAGATTTGGAGGATTTAGAAAGCAGAAGATAGAATAAGGCAAGACATATCAAAAATATTGGAAAAACAGCAAAGAGGAACATTATCGTTGCAGGAATAATCCTCACACACTCATTGTCAAAAAAGAAAACAGTACACATGACTGCAGAGAAATGGTCCTTTTTAAGCTACCACATCATAAATATATTACATTTCTTTGCCCTAAAAGTGTTGAATCCAGTCGTCAGTGGCGTTAATGCCACTAGATACTCTCACAACCATGTCTCTCCAGCCTTAAAATGTTGCGGAGTATTGACATGTCATTAGTGGAACTGTGGCAGCTTTGCACCTTCCCCTTCAGCAGTCAGCCTTCACTCTGATGGCTGCTTCGCTAGCTTGAATGTCTCCCTGGGGGTATTAACACCAATGGCTCTTTGGTCCACAGTGGAGCAAAAGAGGTCACCCTTTCAAATAACAAAGCTGATTTGTTCCATAAGTTTTACTGTGGGCGGCTGTGATACATTACACAGTCTCTCAGCAGCAGATGAGTGGTTCTATTGATCAGCCCTGTCAAACTGTATAACCCCATGTGTGTACACCGCAATATTGGAGTTGTAGCTTATCGCTTTGTGTTCAGAATCCGGTTTTCTTCATGAAAAGAAATGTCTTTTGATGTAGTTTTTTTATGTGTTGGGCAAACTGAACTTAAAAAGTGTCGATGTTTCTTGCTGAGCTTGTGCTGATCTGTTACTGGCTCAGAAATGTGCCTTACAGGTAAACACAAGCTCAATCAAAGTTTCTAATTGTCTCTGTCTTTGCGTCTTCTACTTCATGCCACGCTTAAATGTTCTTTTACAGTTCATCCTGGGGGGACCATAACTATCTAAACCAAATGTCTTGACAGCCATTGCAGTAGTTGCTGAGACATTTCAATCAAAACCATGAATATCAACTTCATGGGGACACTACAGTAAATATAAGGAGACCATAAAGTTCTTTAGTATTCATCATCTGGGAACCACAAATGTCTGTACAAAATGATATGCCATCAGTTAATTAATGAAACCTTTGACCTGCTGGTGCCACTGGATGAAAATTCAGAGGGTTAATGTCAAAATGCCATGACAACCCACCCAGAAGAATTCTAAAAATAGGAGTTGTAAAAAGACAACTAATTCCCACTGTCTTTGGTATCCTGTCGACACATACCACCTCACTGCAACATCCTCCTGCTGGGGTCCCATTTTGCTCTTTCTCTCATTATTCCTGTTCGTCTCTACTGTATACTTTCAAATAAAATGAAATGGGAAAAAAAACAAACCTAACAAAGAGCCACTTTTCTGCTGCTCTTTGTTGAAGAAAATCTTGTGATAATACACTGTATCTAAAGCCTTTCTGCACAATTGCCCCTCAATTCGGAGCAGATTCTCTGCACTGCTGTAGAGTGGAGATTTGCTACCTGTCAAAACGGGCTTTTATGAGTGGCTGTTCCACTCTTTTTTTCTTCAAGCTCTTGAGTGTGCTAATGAGCAGGTTTTCTTAGGTTCAGAAATTTAATGAAACATTGATTTGACTGTTGATGGACCATATGATTATAGAGTGCTCAAAAGGCCAGCTGCACAGCTCATACATGCTGTAAAACACATTACCAGTGGTAGTGAATTTTTTCTTTGTTTCTCTTGTGCTGTTTCCTCTCTAGAAGAATATGACGCTGAAGCCCCCAGAGTGCAGAGACAACCAGGCAGGGCCCCTGCACAAGAAGAAGCCTGTCAGAGTCCCTAACGGCCTGAGCCTGGAGCCCTGCAAGAACAATCACCACCACCAACAGCCTTCAGACCAGGAGAACAACCCCCGCCTTGCACACACACAGGGCAAGAGGAAGAAGAAGCACCTGAACAAGAAACACACAGTGGTGAGTACTGATGTCCTATATGCTATAAATCATGTATGGCAAATGTTTCAGAGTACTACATTTTCATTCTGAGCCCCCATTGTACTTCCTTACTTCACCATACTTTTTCATGAAGCTGAGAAAAAATAGTGTGCGCTTCTATAATCTTGAAATCAGTTGTCGACACAGCGAGTAGTACAAGTATTTTTAAAATAATGCTGTAGTTGTTTTTTGTCCCTCTTGGCTCAATGTTGGTCAGTGCACCAAGTGTGTGTGTTGTTATATCCAATCTGTAGTTAGGGCAAATGTAAAACAACTATATATTTAATGCAAGCCCCTGCAGGGGTGTTGTTTAGGTCACTGTTTGGCACACAGGCACTGAAGGTGGGATGGCTGGGGGTGTTTGGCCAAGAAAGAAGTAGCTAGTTTTTAGATTCTCAGGAAAATGTGAAAGCAAAAATGTAAGTGTTTCAAGGGTTTTCATTGGCCATATGCTGCTGTTGCTTACAGTTTCTCAGTTTCTCAGAGCCTGGCTTCGATGCTCTTTAAACTGAATTAATACTGTGAAGAGGATCCTTTATTTGTGGCCATTTTACAGGAAAAAAGAACTCTGATCAGTTTTACATTTCTAATCGACATCAGTTCCAACAAACTGAACCTCTATGATCGTTTTATTACTGTGGGGTTGTCATGCAGGGTAAGCAGGTCTATATGTTTGTTGCATTATATTTACATACATATTATATGATATGTACTATGTTTTTATTGGGTCTCTGTTACGGCATTGGCAATAAGGCCAAAGATTTGTGTAGAGCATATCAATTTAACCATGAACAAGTGAACAGTGTCACTGTATAAATCTCATATATGGTAGTGTCTAGTGTATGTGAGTGTATATGAGAGCAATGTATGCCTGAACATATTTTTGTGTGTTGCAAGGTGACAAGGTCACTAATGAATATTTAAGCTACACTGATGCAGTGCTCCACCAGCAAGGACCTTCGGTTACAGCACTCTACCTACTGTTTACACACACACACACACACACACACACACACACACACACACACACACACACACACACACACACACACACACACAAACAGAGACTCTCGGGTTATGCTCTGCCATTTCTCTGGGGAAGGGTCAGTCTTCTTGAGCTGCATATTCAAGGACATTTTTGTGTGGGTCGCTGCAGGACAAGAAGACATGAGAGAAAAGACAAGGGTTACCATGCACATGGCTTGCTTACATATACTGTTCACTGCTGACTCCACAGTGGGTTTGTAGGAGCAGTAATGTGGTGGTATTTCTAGATTTTAGGTTCCAGCTTTTTAGACAAATTTCAGAAAAATCCCAGGCATTTTAAATAGGAGATACCTTTACTATCTACAGTACACTAAGGCAAGCTCATACCCAAATGTTTTCGCTAGATGTTTTGAATCAGGCAGTTGTGGCTTTGTTCTGGTTGTCTGTCCTCTACCACTGGTTGGACGAACCCCTCAGCCTGTAGTCATTAGTAATGTGGGGTGGAGTCCAAACTGTTTTGAAAGGCTCCTATTTTTAACTAGTCACATGACAGCTGCATTCACACGACTACTGTACTTTCTTTAACAGTGGCTGTATCCTGTAGCCTTTGCGGCAGACCTCTGTTGTGAGGGTCACCACTGCTGCTTGTGTGTCATGTCTGCCCCTGTACAGGCTAATGGACAGATGGTGCTACCTGATAGTGTCAAGGTTGTCTTGTACTGCTTGTACAGTACAGAAACAACTGATGGAGGCACATCTATGTGATACTTGCGTTAATAAATGTGTGTGTTCATCTACACCTTGATTTGTTGTTGTTGTTGGCCTGACTGACTGTGTGTGTGTGTGTGTGTGTGTGTGTGTGTGTGTGTGTGTTTGGATACCTTGGCAGGTGGTTGCATGTTTCGGTCATGAGTGGTGTTCAGGCTGTTGGCAGAGGGAAGCCCAACCCTGATGTCCCGAGTGCACGCTCACACACAAATGTTGGCAGATGCATTCACGCACACACAAACACATCCACCACATTCTCACCCACTCTCTTTCTCACCTCCCTCCCCTGCTAACCCACATATGTGCTCAAACTCAAACAAACATGAACTCTGCATGCATTGCCATAACCCTTTACACACATCACAGGTGGCTGTGACATGATAGCAACAAACACCGATGAGTTAAATGCAAGGCATACTGGCACCAGTGAGAGCTCTCTAAATTACAATGGGTCCCATTAATCTTGGTAATTATCAGAAATGATTTTAATGATTGTATTACTGATGATTGTGATAACCTAATGTGTTTGGCTTTGAGCGCAGCTAAAGCCCGGACTGTTACATCGTCGCTGTTCTCAATGAGGAAAAATAGTTTGCTGCTCCCTGCGAGATGCAGATAGACCTTGGTGCACAATAACACCCTAATCTGTCACGCTTTATGACATATGCATAATTGAAAAGATCATCATCTGTGCCCGACGCCACCCCTTTTTGTCCTCTGAAGAGAAACAAGCTGCAGAGTTATCCAGCAGAACTAGTTTCTTGGGCTTCACTATAAATAAACGTTAAGGCTCCGTCCTCCCACAAAGTTACATTTTAAATGTCAGAGGTCTGTCTCAAGGTTTAATTCTCCATTTAGAAATGCTACAGCCTGGTGAGAGAGCACCTGTTATCAGCACTTTTTCTTAGCTCTGACTTGAAGCGGAAAGAGGGATGAAGAGAGAAAGAGAATTTGGTGTTGAATAAAGCAAGAGGTGTTTTTCTTTCCCTTTTTTTTTGTTCCTCTTCCAGCGAGCTTGCAGATTGCAGCAAATGTTTTCGATCTCTGGCACTGACCCAATGTACTGAACTATGAGATATTGTAAGCTCAAGGGGGGGAAATAGAGAAATGTTTATAAGCACCTCTGACATATTGCCTCACAGTGAAAAAAGAGCCCAGATAGAGGAAGCTTCAGCAGAGATGGATGAGAGTACAGTAGCAAGCCACAAATTATATGACTCTCTAACTCTTCTCGTGTTTTATCTTATTGGAGAGACCTTTTTTTCTCGGGTTCTTTTTGTCTAATTGTCACTTTTTGAATTGCCATATTGAATTACTGATCCAGACTTTGAATTTATTTTTAAAGCTACACTGACTCTATTGTAGGTCTAAATATTTTAAGGTGAAGGAGTTGACCTGAGTCCGCTTAGCTGTATGTGTCTAAATAGAGGCTGAAATCATACAGACAAATACATTCAATGTTCTCTCTTTGTGTATGAGATTTGTGTGTCTGTCTGTTAATGCCTTTGTGAAATTAAATGTGTGTGAGAGCTGTGCTAGGTAGCTTTTAACTTTACTAGGCAAGTTTACAGTCGACTTGTCACTTTCACTTCCACTCAGTTTAAAGAAGTGTATTGCAAACATAAACAGGGAATGTTACATTTCAGCCACATGTAGCATTATAGCAGAGTGCATTAAAAGCTGTTTCACTCATTCATTGCATCAATCTGTGATTTAATATAAGCTGTTTTCAGGAGCTCAGCTGGAATGTTGACTTGTACTCGCTTCACAAGTTAAGAAAACATTAACAAACCCGGAAGGTAAAACATTTTGTGTTTGTTTGTTTGTTTATTCATGTGTCCAATGTGATATCTCAGAACAGGATTTTGACAAAACTTGAAGAAATGTTCCATCGCACCACTCAAATATTACACTGGCTGTAACTACAGGTCATATATATCAGCCTGAACTGGATTTAGACATGGAGGATCCATGTTTCTGACATTGGTGTGTGTGTGTGTGTGTGTGTGTGTGTGTGTGTGTGTGTGTGTGTGTGTGTGTGTGTGTGTGTGTGTGTGTGTGTGTGTGTGTGTATGGGTGTGGGTGTGATGGGGGGTGTTGTTCTGTTTCTGGTAAGGCTCTGTTCAGCTCACTGATGTTGGATTGGTGGCCTGTGGTGTGTGCTGCTTTGTACAGTAGCCCTGATGAACAGAGGGACGTGCTGTGAGGCCCATCTGCTCTCTGGCACTGGGAGAGACAAGGAGTGGGGGACGGGACAAGCAAGGAGGGCTCAGTTTGGACCCCCCCCCCAGCCTCCAGCCACCTGCCTGTCTGTCTGTCTGCTGGTCCGTCTGTATGTCTGACTGTCTGTCTTTCTTCTGTGTCTGTTTTTAGACATTTGGGTGCAGTCATTTATATTAAACTGGGCTTCTACAACTATTAAGACTACTACTAACACCATTATTTCCACTGCTACCATAACTCTTGTATTAAAATTGTGTTCTCAAGTCAGGCATCTGTGCGATCTCATTTTTATGTGGCAACTGGCGTGTTTGCATTAGCAGGGAGATCCTTTACATCAAATCAAACGCTCCCAGTTTCCTCCTAAGCTAAAATGACAAGTGTGTGTTACTCCACCTGACAAGCTGTGCACACATCAAAAATATGCTAAATCATGGAAACCCAGTGATGGTGAAAAATAACAAATAAGTGCATTAACCCCATTCTGACAAAAAGCTGTGTTTGTACTGTTAAGAGACGTTATGCACACACAGTCACACACACAGTCTGCTGTGTGAAACCAGCTGAACAATGACAGTCTGCGTTACTTGACAAGCAAATGTAATGTGCAAACAAATCAATATGATGAAGACAACAATGCTCGGAAAACTTCATCAGAAAATTCCTGTCGCTGACCATTTAAACATTCATAGCAGGGGGTTAAGCTCTGATTGTAGTTAAAGACTTGCAGCACACTAGCGGAGCCTACGCACTTAGCCACAAGCATAGCGGATGTGCACCACCTCCTCAAAAAAAAAAAGACCATTGCCGGTGTCTGAAATCACTCCATATTCATTATACAGTCATGTGTTTGCTGGCTTTCAGTGCCTCAGTGAAAGATTTTACTTGACATACATATACAGCTATTTCCACAAAATTTAGTTTTCTACTGTAAACACAGAAGATGTTCACAAGGAGAAAATCAAGAAATGGCAATACAAAAATGTGCAATTAGTTAAATCTTT